CTGTGCTCCGCAACGGGAGAGGCCACAACAGTGAGAGGCCCTCGTACCGCAAAAAAAAAAAAAAAAAAAAAAAGAATCCCCAAGGAGATTTCATTACTGCTCTAGACAACTTAATTCATAAACAGATGTTTACTCCTAGAAACCAAGATAATGCAGGAAGCAAATTTATTATGAATTTCACAATATTTACACCATGAAGTACCAAAACCAGAAATGACTTTATAACATTTGCTTGTTAGTCATAATAAGAGAAAACAAACCTTTGAACTATCAAGACAAATCTGGACCATGGCCAAGTAACTGCGTTGGGGGAATTGTTAATATCTCTTCAAATCAAGCTTTACTAATTGCTTCAATACATCCAAAGACTAAAGATGTAGGCAGCTTTCTGCTATGCGGATATGTCATGTTTGATACAGCAGGTAAGAAGTGGAGAACTAAATTTAGCAATTCTTGAAATGCCTCATTATGGAAGAAATTTGAATTATGTCTATAAAACTACTAAGCTAAAGCCATTCATTTAAACAGGTATATAGCTTCCTTTTGTGAAGCTCCTTATTTTTTTTTTTTAATTGTGGTATACCCCACTATTTAGAATTCCACTTGGGGGGTTAAGTGATTTTGTATTCTTCACTATATTTTAAAAATATTTTTCCAAGTATTCTAAAATGGGCATGTTTTACTTTTATAATTAGAAAAAAATGTCATTGGAAGAAAAAAGAATGTCATTCTCACGCTCTATTTATTCTTCAAGTTTCTGACCTCAGTTTTCACTTTATTTTTTGTCTTTAATAACAAGATTCTCATCATCTCCCTGCTTCCAGAGCAGGTATTTACTGGTGATATTTTTTTGAAAAAGATGAGCCCCCATTCCCGACTCATATCAGCTATGAAAACTCGTGGATATAATCAATCCTTCCCTTCCAAGCCCTTAGTCTTTGAAACACACACACACAAACACACACACACACACACACACAGGAAAACAATTCTTGATTCATCTCTCATTCAGTTTCCTGTTTTGTTCTCACCATCTTGCATCTGTTCTTTCCACCACAGCTCATTTAAAGAAAATGTTGTCCTGGTTGTTTTCTAACCTGATCTAGGTCTAAGGCAAGAAATAGATCTTTAATGGCAAAAAAAAAAAAAAAAAAAAATGGATGACCACTTCTAAATTCATATTTTGCAAAAAATCTCTTAACTGACCAGTATTTAACTGAACCACTTTCTGTTCTCTCTGTACAAGTTGCCTATCTTCTACACAATTAATAGGCTACTCTCTGTATCCCCAAGGACTTTCATTTTCACTTACTTGGTTGTTTATTTACCTATTCTTGAATATGTTTATGCTTGTTGTTTTTGCTTTAATTATATGCTTTCATTAAATTGTTCATAAATAAATTGGTTAAGTGGAAAAACAAAAAAAACATGTTTTCTATGAAAACCAAGCTGAATTTTTTGGTAAAAATGACCCAGGTGAGTCACTTTAAAAATGTTGCTGACTGACAAAGGATTAATCTCCAAAATTTATAAGCAGCACGTGCAGCTTAATAACAAAAAAACAAACAACCCAATCCAAAAATGGGCAGAAGACCTAAATAGACATTTCTCCAAAGAAGATATACAGACTGCCAACAAACACATGAAAGAATGCTCAACATCACTAATCATTAGAGAAATGCAAATCAAAGCTACAATGAGATATCATCTCACACCATTAAGAATGGCCATCATCAAAAAATCTAGAAACAAATGCTGGAGAGGGTGTGGAGAAAAGGGAACCCTCTTACGCTGTTGGTGGGAATGTAAATTGATACAGTCACTATGAAGAACAGTATGGAGGTTCCTTAAAAAACTACAAATAGAACTACCATATGACCCAGCAATCCCACTACTGGGCATATACCCTGAGAAAACCATAATTCAGGAAGAGTCATGTACCAAAATGTTCATTGCAGCTCTATTTACAATAGCCCGGAGATGGAAACAACCTAAGTGTCCATCATCGGATGAATGGATAAAGAAGATGTGGCACATATATATATAATGGAATATTACTCAGCCATAAAAAGAAACGAAATTGAGCTATTTGTAATGAGGTGGATAGACCTAGAGTCTGTCATACAGAGTGAAGTAAGTCAGAAAGAGAAAGACAAATACCGTATGCTAACACATATATATGGAATTTAAGGGAAAAAAATGTCATGAAAAACCTAGGGGTGAAACAGGAATAAAGACACAGACTTACTAGAGAATGGACTTGAGGCTATGGGGAGGGGGAAGGGTAAACTGTGACAAAGCGAGAGAGAGGCATGGACATATATACACTACCAAACGTAAGGTAGATAGCTAGTGGGAAGCAGCCGCATAGCACAGGGAGATCAGCTCGGTGCTTTGTGACCACCTAGAGGGGTGGGATAGGGAAGGTGGGAGGGAGGGAGACGCAGGCGGGAAGAGATATGGGAACATATGTATATATATAACTGATTCATTTTGATGTGAAGCTGAAACTAACACACCATTGTAAAGCAATTATACTCCAATAAAGATGTAAAAAAAAATTTTTTTTTTTTTTTTTTTTTTTTTTTTTTTTTTTTTTTACCTAAGGATTGTGTAGATATCTAGAAGCATTCTTTTTACATATATATATATATATATATATGTATAAAGTTACTTATTTTATTTTTGGCTGCATTGGGTCTTCATTGTCACATGCAGGCTTTCTCTAGTTGGGCTTTCTCTAGTTGCTGCAAGTAGGAACTACTCTTTGTTGCGGTGCGCGGGCTTCTCACTGCGGTGGCTTCCCTTATTGGGGAGCAAGGGCTCTAGGCACGCGGGCTTCAGTAGCTGTGGCACGCGGGCTTAGTAGATGTGGCACACGGGCTTAGTTGCTCCACAGCATGTGGGATCTTCCAGGACCAGGGATTGAACCCGTGTCTGCTGCCCTGGCAGGCAGATTCCTAACCACTGCACCACGAGGGAAGCCCAGGAAACACTCTTTACTTAGACAACTTCTCAGTCGACTTTAAAGAAGCTGGCTCTCAAACCCCAATTTCTTCCATCTTGAATCCCTCCTTATCCATCCAACCAGCACACTATTTCTGCTCTCCTTTCCAGCAAGACCCCTGGCGAGAGCTGTCTATGTACAGTCTCCAATTTCTCTCTTCCCACCTTTTTCTTGAATCCATTCCAGACAGGCTTTCACCATGACCACTCTTCTAAAACTGATCTTGTCAAAGTCATCAATCCATCGGTCAATTTTTAGTTTTCATCTTACTTAACCAGCCGGAATCACTTGAATAAGACAATTAACACTTCCTCCTTATAATACATCTGCTTGAATTTCTATGCACAGTTGACTTCCACATTTATATCTCCAGCCCAGACCTCTCCCTAGTACCCTAGACTCATAGAAACCAACTTCCTATTCAATATCTACACTTGAATATCAATGGACATTGCAAAACTAACATGTACAAAGCCAGACCAGTGTTTCCTTTCCCAACTTGCTTCATCCCAGTAGTTCCCTTTCTGATAAATGGAAATTCATTTTTCTGGTAACTCAGCCCACAAATCTTGTTTCTTCTTTTTCTCTAACATCCCATACACAAGTCCATAGTAAATCACATGGGATCTACTTTCAAAATGTATCCAGGATATTTCCCCTTCTCATCACCATCCATCGCTATCCTAGTCGCAATCACCTCTCACCTGAACTGCTACAAGAACTCCATGGCCTCCATGCTTCTGTCCTTGACCCACTACCATCTATTTTCAACCCAGCAGCCAGAAGGATCCCTTTAATAAGGTGTCAGACAGTGGTACATGCTCTATACATCACTATCCATCACTAGTGGATGTATCCTATATCCTAAGGACAAAAAGAACCATAAAGACATTTAGATATTTTGTTAGTAACAATAATAATACATACATACATACATACATATTATTTGTATATATGAAAACGAATACATAATTATACTAATGTTATTAGGAACCAAGCTTTTTAGGGTCAGAGAAAACAGATACAAACATAAAATTTAGGAATTCCCTGGTGCGTCTCAGGGCTCATCCCCTGGGATCGCGGGTGTTTGGAGGCGGAACTGATCTCAGGCACACAGATGACAATCGCTGCTCCCCTGTCTGCCTTTGGCAGCCTGAGAAGCAACTTTTTACTTCCCAGCTTATTCTGCTTTATGTACAACTTCGAAAAATGAGTTTTCCGGGTGAAACCAAGCCCTGAGAATGGAAGTCAAGAAAGCGTTTCACTCTGGGGAGAGATTAGAAGCTAGCTGGGAGAGGGCCCGAGGAACCTTCCGGAAAGTTCCGTAGACTGATGTGGGTGGTGTTTCTAGGGTCTGAACGGAATCATTAAGCAGATGCGCTTTACCGTGTGTTTTATCTTTAAAAAATTTTTAAGTTGTTACCTCTTTGCTTTGCTTTGTTATTGGATGCTGTGGTCACATTCATTTCAGGGAGCACGAAAAGAATCGGGATGTTGTTTTATAGTAACGAATGAAACTAACTTCAGTGATCGGGCCCTTCAGACACCATCCTCCCACCTCAGGCTCTGCAAGCCACTTCACCAGGTGTCTGTAACTGTCCGGGGCACTTTTGGGTCAGAGATGGCAAACGCAAACCCCATGAAATGTAGGAAACGCCAGCAACTCCGCGGCTTCTTGGCAGAGTGGGGCTGCGGTCCCAAATGGGGCCGGGCTCCGGGCGTCTCTGACAAGTGTCCACCAGTTGAGCGCAAGGGCCAAGGAGCAGCGCGCTCGCCACCGCCCGCCTGCACCTCTGGGGACTGGCGCTCGGACTCGCGAGCCCGGACTCCCTACTCAGCACTGCCCCGCGGGCTCTCAGCTGACTCGGAACAGTCGATGCTTTGTTTCAGGCAATCCTGACGGCTACTCGGAGCGCACAGTCCGGCTGTGCCCAGCCGTGCCCAGCCACTACCGCGCGCGGTGCCCCGCCGTGCGCCAAAGACGCCGACTCACCTGAGCTCCGGCTGCACCAACTGCGTGTAGTTGTAGCATCGCTCCAGGACGATTTCTTGAAAATGGGCAGTGCTGCCCGTCCCGTTCCACTTCATGTGCTCGGACGAGTGGCGCCACATCCGGACTCCGACCACCACCGCGATGACCCCCACCACAAGAAGACATAGAAATATGCAGAGACAGATCTTGGCTTTCTTGGGTCTGGAGTCGGCCATGGGGTCCAACGCGGGTCGCCCGGGAGATGTTGGAGGAGAAGCTGCTGGAGGCTGGGCAGACAGGGAGGAGAGAGCTAGCTCGGTTCTGAAACTGCACTTCCCCTTTATCTCTCACTTGCCTTTTCTCCGCTTCCTTTCCCACCCCCATCCCCTCCTTCAAAGTTCTTCGATCGCGGTCGCTCGACCAACAAGGATTTCAAGGTCTTAAAAAGCCTTCGTGACCACCTAGAGGGGTGGGATAGGGAGGATGGGAAGGAGGGAGACGCAAGAGGGAAAAGATATGGGAACATATGTATATGTATAACTGATTCACCTTGTTATAAAGCAGAAACTAACACACCATTGTAAGGCAATTATACTCCAATGAAGATGTTTAAAAAAAAAAAAAAAAGGCCTTCAGCACCTACTACAGCCGTTCACTTCCCGACTCCTGAGCAGAGAGCCACCACTTTGACCTTACTTGACAGGCACTCAAAGAACAGACAGAGTACAGCCTTATACTCACTCAGTCGGCTCCCTTTATCAAGCCGCACTTTACACTTTACCCACACCTGCTTCCTGGACAGTGTCAAGGCGACTGTCTACCTCCATACCTGTGTACATGCAATGCCTTCTGCCCGCAAAGGAAGGCTCTACCTCTACTTATAACGTTGAGGAATACCTGCTCAGCCCCCTGTAAAGGCTCTACTTAAGCCTTATGCCTTCTCTCCATCGGCATCAGATTATGCTATGGGTTCAAACTGAGCTCTGGCTGGGTGATGTGTGGTAAGTTACTTGACCTCTCTGTGCTTCAGATGTAAAGTGGACACCATAGCAGTACTCACTTCATGGGGCTGTTATGAGGATTAAATGAGCTCATATTTATGAAGTGTTTAGCCTGGCACATGGTAAGCGCTCACTAAGTGTTAGCTATTCCTACCTGCTCCCTGAGGCTGTGGAGGGGATGCAGTTTTGTAATCCATGAGGTGTTGATTGGAAGTGTCTGTCATGCAGTAAGTACTCAAAGTAGTGGTTCAACAAATAATCCAGTAGCTTTTCCCAGATGCCCCCTGCATCGCCTCTCTCAAGGTTTCCTAGCACTAGGAGCATCTGTGACATTTCAGCAGAGACCTAAGGCAAGTGGAAGATCAAGCCAAGAGACTTCCTGGGGCAAACAATTTCCAGACAGAGGGGACAGCAGGTGCAAATACCCTAAGGCAGAAAAGCCCTTGGCCTGTTCCAGGAGCAGCAAGGATGCCATTGGAGCTGGGGTGCAAGAGTGAGGGAGGCAGAGCAGGAGAGAAGTTCAGAGGGTAGGAGGAGGCCAGGTCACCCATGGCCCTGTAGGACAACATAGGACTTTTTGGACTGTGAATTTTATTTTTAACCTATTCAAGGTCACTGAGTGACTTGATCAGGCATGACATTTTAAAGGCTCAATCTGGCTTCTGCATTGAGAATAAATTGTGAGAAAGCAAGGATAGAAAGATGGAGACCAGTTATGATGACTTTAACCAGGAGAGTAGTAACAAAAGCAGCAAAGAAAAAAGGAAGTTGGATTCTTGATGTAGTTTGAAAGCATAAGCAATGGCATTAACCGATGAGTTGGATGTGGGGTTTACCAGAGAGGGGTCTAAGATGATTTCAGGAATTTTGGCTTGAGTAACTGACCAGAGAAAGGACAGCATTGCCATGTATAGCAAAGGGAGAACTAGGGGTGAAATAGATTTGGTTTGGGGGAAAAGGCATGAAGAAAGAATTTGGTTTTGGAGGTGTTAAGTTTGAGATGCCTATTAGATCCCCAAGAGGAGACATCGAGTAGCTAATTGGGTATAAATATCTGGTTTTCAGGCAAGGGGTCAACCCTGGAGACATAAATATGGGAACCTTTCTCATATAGTTAGTTTTTAAAGCCAAGAGGATAAATGAGATCATGTAGAGAGTGTCTGCGGACACAGAAGGAAGGGGTTCCACCATGGGGTATGTGTGTAGAGAGATCAGAAAGACGAGGAGAGCTCCTGCAGAGAGAACTGGGCAGAGAGACCCCTGACACCAGAGGGAGGGCCACTTGGGAGTTACTGGTGCAGTTGGCAAGAGCAGTTTTAGAGGAATGTCCAGGACAAAGCCGGATATGAGTAGGTTGATGAGAGTATGTGAGAAGAGAAGGTGGCTTCAGTAAGTTGGTTGACTTTTTTTGGAAGAGTCTTTTTTGTCAAAAGGAACTGAGGACATGATATTGAGCAGAGACCTGTATAATATGTTTGTAGGATGACAGGGTAACCCAGTGGACAGGCAACAACTGATAATGCAGGAGAGGGGAAATTGCTGGAGCGGAAGAGCTCGCATGTAGGTGAGAGGAATCCCAGGCACGAGCTGGTGTGGCAGGTGCTGCAGCCATCATGGAAGGAAGGTGGAGGACATAGATTTAGGGGAGGAGGGCTGGTGGATTTGCTGACAGCGACTACGTGTGGATGGTCGCTTCTTTTTTTTTTTACATCTTTATTGGAGTATAATTGCTTTACAATGGTGTGTTAGTTTCTGCTTTATAACAAAGTGAATCAGTTATACATACACATATGATCCCATATCTCTTCCCTTTTGCGTCTCCCTCCCTACCACCCTCCCTATCCCACCCCTCTAGGTGGTCATAAAGCACCAAGCTGATCTCCCTGTGCTATACGGCTGCTTCCCCCTAGCTATCTATTTTATGTTTGGTAGTGTATATATGTCCATGCCTCTCTCTCACTTTGTCACAGCTTCCCCTTCCCCCTCCCTATATCCTCAAGTCCATTCTCTAGTAGGTCTGTGTCTTTATTCCTGTCTTACCCCTAGGTTCTTCATGACATTTTTTTTCTTAAATTCCATATATATGTGTTAGCATATGGTATTTGTCTTTCTCTTTCTGACTTACTTCACTCTGTATGATAGACTCTAGGTCTATCCACCTCATTACAAATAGCTCAATTTCGTTTCTTTTTATGGCTGAGTAATATTCCATTGTATATATGTGCCACATCTTCTTTATCCATTCATCCGATGATGGACACTTAGGTTGTTTCCATCTCCGGGCTATTGTAAATAGAGCTGCAATGAACATTTTGGTACATGACTCTTTCTGAATTATGGTTTTCTCAGGGTATATGCCCAGGAGTGGGATTGCTGGGTCATATGGTAGTTCTATTTGTAGTTTTTTAAGGAACCTCCATACTGTTCTCCATAGTGGCTGTACCAATTCACATTCCCACCAGCAGTGCAAGAGTGTTTCCTTTTCTCCACACCCTCTCCAGCATTTATTGTTTCTAGATTTTTTGATGATGGCCGGTGGCTTCTGACTGCTTCTCAGTGAATAGAGAAAGTCACCTGCTGAGAGTGGGTGGGGCCAGTGCAGCTCAGGAGACCAGGAGGGAGGATGGGGTGGGGACATCAGAGGTTCCCAGCGTGTTGTTAAGGGGTCAGGAAGCTAAAGAGAAGCCAGTCAGCGAGGGTTTCCTTCTTTTAAGCCACGCTTTGTGACGATGTAGCTTTTGAAACCTAACTCCGGTTACTTTACCCACCCCAGCTCCCTGCTTGCTCTAGACACAGAAAGCAGGCATGGAAGCCTCCAGCCTCCAGGGGCACCTCGCCCCCCAGCCCCTATGGCACTCCAGTCCTGAGGCCCTTCTCTCTGTCTCCAACCAACCGAAGCTCTTACCTGATGCTGGGCCTTCACAGATGCCATTACCTCCACACCCCTACCCAACCCCTGCTGAGCTCCTTCAATGTGACTTCCTCAGAAAGCCTTTCCTGACCCCACTGAGCTCCCAAACTGAGTTAGGTCTCCAAGTTGTACACTTTCCTAGCAGAAGAACACAGATGCCAGTGGATCTCCTGGGACAATACAGAACCCAAAAGCTCTGGTGTGGATCACCCAGACCAGAGAATTTCTTCAAGGTGTCCTCTCCAACTAGACCAGGGTTTGCTTGAGACTAAGTCTGCAGGAATTAAGACATAGAAAACAAAACTTATGGTTACCAAAGGGGAAAGGGAGGGGGGAGAGATGAATTAGTAGTATGGGATTAACAGATACATACTGTTACAGATTAACAGATACATACTTACATATATATAAAATAGATTAGCAATGATGATTAACCATTGACACAGGGAACAATATTCAATACGTGGTAATAACCTATAATGGAAAATAATCTGAAAAAAACACATATATATAAAACTGAATCAGTTTGCTATACAACTGAAACTAACACAAAGTTGTAAATCAACTGTATTTCAAAAAAAAAAAAAAAAAAGCCTCGGGCTTCCTTCGTGGTGCAGTGGTTGAGAGTCCGCCTGCCGATGCAGGGGACACGGGTTCGTGCCCCAGTCCGGGAGGATCCCACGTGCCGCAGAGCGGCTGGGCCCGTGAGCCATGGCCTCTGAGCCTGCGCGTTCAGAACCTGTGCTCCGCAACGGGAGAGGCCACAACAGTGAGAGGCCCGCATACTGAAAAAAAAAAATCTGCGTGCATCACTGAATTATTTTGAGCATTGAATCAGGTAACATATAGAGAGAATAGCTGAGTGACCCCTTAGCAAGTGTTCAACAAAGAAGTACTAATAATGGGGGAGCTGCGTGAGGACAGGAAGGATGGCGGTGAGTCAGAGTAGATTTTCGGAAGGCTTTGGAGAGACAGTGACACTAGATGAGGCTGTGGAAGGGCAAGGAAGGTTTGCAAAAGGGAGAGAGACATGGAAACAGAACTGTAGGGCGAACTGGGGGCAGACGATGGGATGTCTGGGGTACCAGAGGAGTGACCCCAGGCCACACACCTGGTTAGTGGAAGTGCTGGTCCTAGAATGTGGGTTTCAAGCTCTTTTTTTCCTTGGTCAGCTTCATTAGTCATTTTTAAATCATTCAAGTAATACAATCACATTTAAAAAATTGGAAATAGAGAAAAGAAGAACATTGCCTCTACTCCCATTCCAAGACCCTAACCCAACTACCATTAGCATTTTGGTATTTCTCCTTCCAGCCTTTTTTTCTAATCTCTGACAGCTTTAAAAGTAGTTATAATATATAATATTATATATATATATATATATATATATTTAAATTTCTGCTCTTTCCTCCTCACTGT